CCCCCCCCCCACCCCAAAAGCAAATGTTGGGATGAGCTGTGCTAGTCAGGGCCCTAACTCTACTTGGTATTTAGTTTTCATGGCTAGAAGCGTAACTTTACTTTTTAAGCTATTTCTAAAATAGTTTCTAGAATTTATGTAAGTTTTTAAGTGAGATCAGTGATACAGTAAACATTCTTTTAATACCTACACATTACTTCTTCAAAGTTGCCACAAAAACAAACCAAATTTTCCACCATGGAAGTTGAACACAGGATACAGGATATTTGTGACTCTCACAGGAAATAAGAAATTACAAAAAAACTTGCACCCACAGCCAGAGCCTCCTAGCATTAGTGGCTATGTCAGGCCCCTACTGCGAAGTTCTAATAAACTGGCTTCAGGGTAATTGCTCAGATAACTGAGCAAACTCTTTCCAAACTTAAAATTTTAATTTATTTTCTGAACTACAAACTGCACAACTCTGCCACGAAACAGCAGCATTGCAGTTTCTGATTATACAAGGCTAGTACAATCTTAACATCGTTGCCTGTGCTCTTTGCACTTTTATGTATCATAGAATAAGTACCAGCAAGGTCTCACGTCCTGTTTGATAGGATGTAAATATGTGTGTCAGAAAACATAAAAAGAAGATGGAAGGAAGAGAACAAAGAACGGAGAAAAGCAGTAAGCTAAGCAAGCACTTTTGTACTTAGTTTTTGACGTAATATCCAGTTTTTTGTTTTTCAGGAGGATGTAGAATCCTACAGGCAGGCGCACTCCCTGCCATCAAGTCCATTTCAATGCACACCGCCCTGAGCGGCAGGATGGAGCTGCCCCTACAGGTGTCTGTCTAAGACTAGATCTTTAGGGGGAGAGAAAGCCTCGTCTTTCTCCCTCAGAGCAGCTGTTAGGTTTGAACTGCTGGGGTTTTCGGTTAGCAGCCCCATGTGTAACCCACCACCAGGTACCGGGCACCTGAAGGGCAGATAGGGAAGTACAATAAAAATATATGCTAAGTAGTTTGCCTTTTAATTGTGTGTGTTGCTTTATTCAGTATATAGCTTTGCTTTTGTTCCTGGGAAGCAATGATATTATTAAATTTCTAATTCAACAATTGGTACTAACACCAACTTATGCTAGGTAAACTCAAAATGGGTTATTAAGAAACAACAAAAAATAGCCATTTTGTTCTAGTCCTTACCTAAGAGGGGGGCTGCACATTCTTTTTGCAATATAAGATCAAGGACTTGAAACTTCTTATTTACCAAGGGGGAACTTTTAAAGAAACTCTTACATCTTCAAAAATGATGGATGTGCTTTCTGATACCACCTATATTTTCTATATTTTGAGAGAGGAATTCCTAATTAAAAAAAACAATTATTAACCCTCTTGAATTTTTGCTATATGATTTCCTGTATATGAAACCCAGGATTGATGAACCTATAGACAGCAAGTAGAATTAGGTTTTCTGGGGGCGGGGCAATACAATGTGGGAGGGGCTAAAAAGGAGCTGGTATCAAGTTGTCCAGGAAAGAAGAGAATGTTTTGAAACGGCTTGTGGTAGCAGTTGTACAGTACGGCTTGATGTGATTGAACTAGGGAATGATATGGGGAAAAACTCAAAGAAAATAAAATGTCCCCTATAAAAATTAGAGCTTTATGATTAATTCAGGAAACATTTGAGTGTCTACTAGTGTATTATGCTATAAGACTACAACATATTAATGTTTACCTGTATCCACACACCCATAGATCTACATATTCAGCCCCTGCCTTTAAGAAAGAGACAACCAACAGTCAAATGATGTAACAAGATAGTGTGATTAGTAAATCTTAGTTACTCTTTTTATTCCTATTGGAATGTCTGATTTCTACTACCTGCTGTTTAAATAAGTTACTTTTGTATACTAATGACTCGACATTTTTATTGCCATTTATGTTCTTATCTTGTATGCAGAACAGCTATTGATTTTTGTTTGCCTTATACATAGTATCACATTTTCATGTCCTTATTCTGGCCATGCCCTCAATCCATTCAGCTGAGATATCTACTCAGAGTCCATCACATTCACTAAAAAGAACCAAAAAACCAAAAACCCCAAACCTTTTCAATCCTGCAATTTATTTTTTATATATTAAAAAAAATTTTTTCTTTTTAAAAGCATTTTATTGGGGGCTCGTACAACTCTTATCACAATCCATATATACATCCATTGTGTCAAGCACATCCGTACATTAGTTGCCATCATCATTCTCAAAACTTGCTTTCGACTTGAGCCCTTGGTATCAGGTCCTCATTTTCCCCTCCTTCCCCTTCCCCCTCCTGAACCCTTGATAATTTATAAATTATTATTATTTTGTCATGTCTTACACTGTGACATCTCCCTTCACCCACTTTTCTGTTGTCCCATTATTTAATTGGCTAGAAATGCAAAGGTAATTTTAATACTTTTAATAATGTCACATTGTTTTCTAATATAAAGGCCTCTAGTGTTTTATCATTATGTTTGCATTGACTGTTCCCTGGAAAGAACTGTCACCAACGTTCTAACAAATCAATGTCTAATTGGTAAAACTATCATAAATAGATGTTGGGTTTTATTAGATGTGCATTTGGCATTTATTGAGATGACTGCATTGATCTTACGTAAACTGACATTATACATTACAAAAAGAAAAAGTTGATAGGGTAAAAATACAGAGGATTATGGAATAAATAATAGTACAACTTAGTAGCAGTTGGCGTTTCTTAAAGTGGCAAGAGAATTGTTGAGAGCATACATGGGAAAGCATACATCAATCCAACCACTTCTACATGTACAATCCTGCGAGAGGCACAGCTGTCCTCGGCTTCCTTTTCTGAGCGGTTCCTCTGTCTCCTTTGCCACCAGAAGAACTGGATGGTGCCCCGCTACCATTAATAAACACTTTGATCAAAGAATCTACAGAAGAATCGTTTTTTAAAATGTTGAATTACTATGTTATCCAGGTGTCTGATTGTGTTATAAATGTCTTTATACTGTAATTTTCCCTTTGGTTAGATTGACTTTGTGCTGTAAATTGCATTGGGGAAATTTATGAAGCATATGAAGCTCTGCACCTGCAAAGTTAGAACTCACGAAGAAATCACCTGGAGTTAGAACCTTCCAACAAAATGGCAATTTTGTGATGACCTTGAATGGTTTCTAAGCTTCAAAGTTTTGACTAGAGAAATTTTTGCCCCAGTATTTTTGCTATATGTTTTCCTAAATAGATTTGTTTAGGACAAAAGATAAATAACTACACATAAATACCCATTTCCTCCTTTACACAGAGTAATGTAAACGAAAATATCTGTAAGTTTTTCATTTCGAAGCACTTTGAGTATTTTTATTTAAATTTTTTAAAAATAGAATTTTCTTTATTGCAACAATCCATCTATACTATCTTACAATGGAGGAAACACTCAATAACTTGAGGCCCCCCAAAGAAAGTAATCACTTCTAGACCTGATTCTGGCATATTCTGTATGCTAGTTAGAGACCCTAACATTGGTTACCTGTGTACATCTTATCTGCTTTTACTTAATTGGTAATGGAAAGTCACTGGAATTCTTTTTATGTTATTATGAAAGAAAACATAGTGCAGTGCATTGTCAATGCAGAAGCTTAGT